CCAAGGCGCCGTGGAGGGAAGAGCGCAGGAAGAGGGCTGTGTGGATATCTACTTGCAGCCTTCTCTGTGAGCCTCTTGCTTGGCAGGTCTAGACAAAGCTTCTGAAATCTCTCCCTTGGTACAAGGCAGGGTCAGGATAGCAGAAGCTGGAAAGATCATGAGTTCTGATCACAGCTGCTAGGTGTCTTTGTCCCCCCCCCCCCCCCCGCTTTCTTGGCATTTAAAACATTTTCAAAACTATTTCTATCAAGTTGCCATTTAGGCTAGTAAACATGTGGTAGAAAAAAAGTCTGAAGCTCTACTGGGTTAGATGGTTCTGATCCAGTGGTGACATGAATCTTTTCCCCTTGTTCTGTTGAACACAGTCAGCACACTTAAAGATAAAAACATTCTCGAGTCACTCATGCATTTGAATTGTGGATGAGTTCTGGTCTAGATAATAGCTTAGCTGTTTTTCTTTTCTTCCTTTCTTTTCCTACAGAGGTCGAGAACTCAGTATTACTGCAGTCCAGGCCAAAACAAACGCTATATGATCTACTACTGATTTCCTTTTAAGTTCCTCTTTTTGCTAGGACGGACTTCCTTTTATTTTACTCCAACTTGCATTAATCCCAGTTATAGAAGTTTTTTTTCCCCTCTGTCTCTTGCTTCTAACTTCAAACATTTCTCACATAGGAAACAAGTGACTTTCAAAAAAAAAGATCTACTTATAAAAATAAAGGACATCGTGACTTTTGGAATATATTTTGGCAGCATGCAATTTCAGAGTTCATTTCCGACCAGGCGGAGCTAGACAGTTGGAGCTGAAATGCCTACGTGACTGCTATGGTTATTGTGAATGAGATCACCTGCTTGTCCAGTTTCCTTTGGGAATGAAGTAGTCGACACCTAGAGAAGCCATTTAATAATGAGATGCTTCATTTGCCAGAAGCCATATGTTCCCTGAAAGGTGGCTGCCCTTTCTTTGGATTTCCATGGTAAGAGCTGGGTGTTGACCGATTGCCCAAAGAGATCAGAGCCTGAACATACTTAGACCCAGTATTTTTAGCTTAAGTTCACATTCTGTCCTTTCTCCAGCCGTCGTTACTGTCATTGACTTGCAGAGGAGAAAGGTTGTGCCAGTCTCGCTGATTCTCCGAGCCACCTCGAAGATCCAGCCAGCGGTGAAAATTGTGCTCTGATCTGATCTCTGGCCTCAGGAAACCTTTTAGTAGCTTGGGAATTTTCTAGAAGTCCTTTTCTCCCATCTGTCTTCATCAGCTTCTTTCCTCTTCCAGGGTTTGTAGGCTGGGCTACCAGGACAAGTTGAATCACAAAGTGGGACTTTTTACTGGGATCTTAGTTAATTGAAGAAGAAGTACTGTGATTAGTGTGAGGGGTAGGTTACAGTGGGCATCCTGCCCGATCGCAGTGTCTGTGATTCTGACGGTCCCATGGGCATGTTCTCTTCTTTTTCTTCCTTCTCCTCCTCTCCTCGTTCCTCCTCCTCCACCTCCTTTTGTGTCGTTGTCGTCGTCATCATCATCATCATCATCATTTTATTACAATAGTGAGAAGACTAGGTTCAGAGGTCAGATAATAAATCCCAAAGGGGCAGAGCTAGGAGGGGTGGTAATCAGTTATGCCAACATTAGTTGGCAGTTTTCATCTGACAAATGGAGGTCATACTTATTATTATTACTATTACTATTATTATTTTTGTCAATTGCGGGGCTTGAACTCAGGGCCTGGGCACTGTCCTTGAGCTCTTTTTGCTCAAGGCTAATGATCTACCACTTTGAGCCATAGCACTACTTCCAGTTTTCTGGTGGTTAATTGGAGATAAGTCTCATGGACTTTCTTGTCCAAGCTGTCTTTGAACCACAATCCTCAGATCTCAGCCTCTTGAGCAGTTAGGATTACATGCATGAGCCACCACTACCTGGCAGAGATTATACTTATACTGACCTCACAAAGTTGTTGTGAGCTGTATTGAGAATGTATGAAACTGTAGGACACAATTTGATAGGTTAGAAAAAGAAATCAGTCAATTTTCAGTTATTGTATAATTTTTTTAAAGAGCCCTTACCTTCTTCGAGTTTCACATCATCCCTGTAAAATGAGATTAAGACAAATATTCTTATTCTACATTTGAGAAAACTTACCTGTGATATGCCCAGTGTCATAAAACTGACCATTGCTTAACAAAACGTAATATAAGCTGTATGTGTAAGTTGCAACTTGCTAGTTAACCACATAAAATTTGTTTTTAAAAAGTGAAACTAATTTTAAAATATTTTACACAACCCACTACAGCAAAAATCTTATTTCAGTGTGTGGCACCAGCTGAGTTTCTGGTGCTCAGTGGCCACACATAGCCAGTGACTTCTGTCCGGGGCATTGTGGAACAGAGGATTTACTATGTACATGGCACTGACCCTATATTTGAGTAGGTTTGCCTTCTGGGAGCCAAAGGATTGCCCTTAAAAAATGCTTTGTCTTTGGATTCATTCTAGATAGAGCTTCTGTGGAACCCATGGAACTATGCTTTGAGTCCTTTGAGAAAAATCCTAAATAATAAAGTTAGGTATTTATGCAATCACTCTGTCCTTCATCTTTATTTCCCAAACCTCTTGAAAGCGATCAGATTCTTAGTCATATGCAAGAGTTAAATAACTGCAGAAAGGTCTTACATCCCAAATAGGGTCCAGGAAAATTGTCAACAGAGGCTGAGTGATTTTAGTGAGTGGACAATCTTTTAAAAAAAATTAGTGACAAAAAATATAGAGCTACCTGGGGAATACAATGTCTGTTAGCCTGTTAGCTGAGATTAATGGCAAGATTAATAAATGGGTTGCTTGATGAAAAGGCACAGGAGAACAAAAACCAGTGGAGAGATTGTGGAGGAGGACACATATTAATGGACTGTCAGCCCAAAGAAAGTTCAAGAAACTCTCCTGTGGTAAATGCAGCAGGCTGGCACTTCTAATAAAAGTTGGGGTTTTTCAGGAATTAATTACATCAGCCTTACAGCAAGAATTTGTGGAATTGCAAAATGTAGTGGCACAGGCCAGCACGGGCCGCTGCTGCAAATCAGGAAGCTGCAGGGAAAGAGAGTCATTTTTTTTCATTGATATGTAGGATATTGTAGTAGCATAATAGCCAGTCAGACACAGGATGAATGATGGGGTCCAGATATTCACTGACTAATGAAACTACACATACTTTGAGTTTGAAGTCACTTCACTTTTCATATGCAAAATTCACTCCTGGATCCGATTTCCTTCTTATCCTGTATACCCGACACAGGAGTTCTAAATAATTTTCAGAGTGATTATATGTGAGTCAGATAAACTCTACCATGATTTATCAAGGTATGTCAAGAGATTACACGGTATTCATTTCTTCCCAGTTGCTGTAATTTCTCTCAAGCCCTCTCCCCGCCCCGCCATGTTCCCAGTTTAGTTGGCTGAAGAACACTCTTTCTGAATTAAAAATTCCTCTTGCTTCTGTCAATAAAGCAACAGAAAGGAATGCCATGACGAGATAGAGACTGTCTAGGATTTGTGATCTGGTATCACACCCTAGATACTGTTTCTTATCTCCTTTCTCGTCTGCCATGAAGGTAGAGTGAAAATCTTCTCTATGATGTGTTTAAAACCAAAGGTTCCCAGAAAAACCATTAATCTCTGGGGTTTCAGATTTCATAATTAACCATTTAAGATCAGGTCTAAATTTATTCCTACTTGAGCTTGGTAGTGTTGGAGATGTTTAGCAATTGATTTGTGTGCTCGTTTGCTAGGAGTAAGATAAATAAAGGGACAATGAGAGCTTTTGGTGTTTTATTTTCTCCTTTGGGGTCTTAGTGTAAATAACTAATTGTGCCTATATCTATCTTTCTATCTGTCTGTCTGTCTGTCTATCTATTTAATTTATTGGCAGTAATGGGGCTTGAACTCAGGGCCTAGGCATTCTCCCTTAGCTATCCACTGAAAACTGGTGCTCTACCATTTGAGCCACACCTTCCAGCTTTTTGCTGGTTCATTGTCTTCAAACCAGGACCCTCAAATCTCAGCCTTCTGAGTAGGTAGGATTACAGGCAGTGAGCCACCAATGTCTGGCCAGATGGGGGAGGCGGGGGAGAGGTCCATACTGTATTTGACTTGTACAAGGATTGTAAATCCTGTAGAGAGCAATTCTTTCAGCTGTGCAAGGATTTTATCGCCATCTTCTGCTTGTCACATCCTTTTGAATCAGCCCATCCATCACCCATCACTCTGTGACTTTTAGACCCTCATAATCCACAAGATACTTATCCTTTTGATTAAAACAACTTAATGGCCTTTTCATGAATAATTAATCTGCTGTCTTTTTCCTCTCAGTTTCAGGCTTTTAACTTTAATGGTGAGTTATCCAGCCTGTGTTGCCTTTCAAAGTCTCACTTCCTTACCCTCTTTTCAAGGTTTACCTCTTCAGAAACTCCATTGTTTAGTGTTCTAAGGTGTTTTCATTTACTTCTTTCTTTTCTTTTCCCTCCCCCTTTCCTTCTTTTCCTCCTTTCTCTTACTCTTAAATCTTCTGCTGTGTGGGAAATGAATAACTGTGTAGAGGTCTATGGAGTGAAATGAAAATCATTTCACACAAGTATACTCTATTATTCTGCAAAATGTTGTGGCTTAAAAACCCAAGCTAAAACTCCATTGCTTTGTCTTTGGTGCCAGTCCTAAGGCTTGGACTCAGGGTCCGAGTTCTGTCCCTTAGCTTTTTCACTCTATAAGCTAGCACTCTTCCTCTTGAGCCACAGCTCCACTTCTGGCCATTTGGTGGTTTATTGGAGATAAGAGGCTTAGAGACTTTACAGCCCAGGCTAGCTTGGAACATCAATCCTCAGCTCTCAGCCTTCTGAGTAGCTTGGATTCCAGGCATGAGTCACCAGCACCCAGCAAGAAACAATTGCATGTGCGTGCGTGTGTTTGTGTACATGTATTTGTGTATTTCTAATTCTGGATGTTTTCCAACAGTGACAACTTGTACCAAATGACTTCCCAGCTGGAATGCATGACCTGGAATCAGATGAACCTTGGAGCCACCTTAAAGGGGTAAGCGCTTTACTCCATTGCCCTTCAACAGTATGTATACCTGTTCAAACAGTTTCCAGGTGCTTTCTCACTTGTGGAAGGAGCACAGTACAGAAAAAATAGGCCTACCTCTCTTTGGAGCATTATGATGCTCTTTTGTCTACTTCATGGATTATGTTCAGCATCAAATTTTCAAAAATGTAAAAGGGATTTGTTTTTGGTCTGGAGCAGGGGAATTGGGATACCGAGCCTTGTCTTGCTGAATGTTTTGGAATTCTTCACAGATGTTGTGTCCATGTAACCTCATTTAACGTTTATGTTTTGCTAGTGCTATCGCAGATGTTAACCATTACATTATCTTTTCAAGAAATGCTTTGCATGTACAAGATCCAGGATCCAAATTTGTATCTGTGTGAGGATGATTTGAACAATCCAAAGCTAGACATGCTCACTCTTGTTGCAAGCGACAGTTTTTGCTCATGCATGATGTATGATCATTGTAGGGAGAAGACAGTTGCTGAACCCGAGTAGAGGCTTTGTATTTTTAAAATGAAGGAAGGATGAAAGGAAGGAAGGAAGGAAGGAAGGAATGAAGAAGGAAGGAGGGGAGAGAAGGAGGGAAGAAAGGAGGACAGAAGGAAGAGAGGAAGAAGGGAAGGAAAGAGATGGAAGGAAGGAAAGAATGAAGGGAGGAATGAAGGAAGCAAGAAGGGGAGAGAAGGAGGGAAGGAAGGAAGGAAGAAGGAAGGAAGGAAGAGCAGGCTTTCAATGGTGAGAGAACTCGCCTTTAATTTTTCACAAGTAAAAGGAGATGGCAGTTGGATATCATACCCATGGAGTGCCAACAATGCACAGGTGTTTCACTTTATCTTTGTATTAGACTAATGGCATCACTAAGCTAAACGAAACCCAGAGTTAAGTCCTTTTGCAAGGCCAAAAATCCTTTTGCACAGTACATCTGGTATTCCAAGCTCAAATCAGATTCCAGTGCGCAAGCTCTGTCCAGTCTCTGTGAAGCCTTCCACCCACCACTGGTCCCAGTGGGACTGGGGACTTTGTTCAACACTCTTGTCCGCTAGCTTTATGTCTTTGTGTATTTCGTGGCTTCTCATTAGATTCTAGGACCTGGGGGGCTTGTCAGAGCCATGCATGCTCCATTCCCCACCCCCACCTCTTCTTCTCTTCTAGAGTTGCTGCTGGGAGCTCCAGCTCAGTGAAATGGACAGAAGGGCAGAGCAAGTGAGTGGACATGGCCTTGTTAATTAACATCTGAGCATGCAGGAGTTAGGGCTGATGTGGGTAATCAGGGTAGCATTTGGGGGATGGGGCAAATCTATCCCCTCCTCCCCCTGCCTCTTGTTTATTGTGCACATACTGTGGGTCAAGTGGAATTGGTGATGTTTCTCATCCACACATCCCTGGGGAAATTTCTTTTGAAAAAAATGGTGCAGCAGGAACACTGCTCAATTCCTTGTGAATGGTTCAAAAACACCAAAGTTGTGGCATTAAACATATTCTGTTTAGATCAGTCAAGACTTTTTAAATTTTCCCAGGATAGCTTACCTAAATTTGTAGCCAGACTTTCCAAAGACTTCTCATCCCCTCTCCCCCATTTCGAAACATATCCTGGGGAAGTTCTGTAGCTCTTTCTTTTGATTTTATTTTCTCTGCTTAAAGACCAGAATCAGCCCCCATCTTTCTTCCTTTCTTGGCTCAGTCTTTGGATCATTCCTCACTGATCAACAGAGTGGCTTTTCATCCTCCTAGACTTGACTGGTAGATCCCTTCCCCACTGCCCCCCCTCCACCTCCCCCAAGTTTTCTGCTGTTTTATCCAGATCTCTACTTCCTCCCTCTGGATCCAAAAAAAAAAAAGCCCTCAGTGCTTGGAATTGTTTTTCACGTGCCATTTCCATCCAAGGGCCTGCTGACAGTTTTAGCATTCTCTCTTTCTACGTGCTCTCAACTTCCTTTCCATTTCTTGGCTTTTGGGTCCCGCCCTTTCCTTCTAGATCCTCTGGCCTCTGCTTAACATTAGTAACTCTCAGATGAAATGCCAGCAACAGACGGGAACACGATTATGAAGGGAATAGTGTGTTTCAATTAAAAATGTTTCTTTTATGTTAGAATACAGGATTGGATGGTTTGTATTAACTATAAAAATTACAAGTAAGGAATCTTGAAATGCATTCTCATGTGGGTGTTCCATAGATAGTTTTTATATCTTTATTTATTTAGTGATATTGGAGTTCGAACTCAGGACCTTGTGCTTACATTAGGCAAGTGCCCTATCACTTGAGCCATGTACTTTCTGGATAGAGTCTCAAGTTTTGTTTTTTAATTGTGAAAATACCTTACAGAGGAGTTACAATTACATGGGCAAGATAATGAGTACATTTTTTATCAAGCATTGTTGCGGCCTCCTTTGTTTCCCTTTCCTATCCCTTCTAATCTCCCCCCTCCCGCCCCCCTATATTTCCCCCTTTCCCCCCCCTCCCGCCAAAGTTGTAAAGTTCGTTTTTCGGCATAACAACTTGTACATCTCATTGTTGCAGTGGGTCCACCTGTATCCCTATGTAAATGATTTGTTTTTTTTTCCTTCCCCTCCACAAATTATACCAACATCAAATACAGTGAAAGCAGGGGTTATACCGTGAGGGAGGGACATACAAAGCAACAAAGAAATCATCTTATAAACATGTTAGAAACAATCACATGAAAGAAAAAAACATTTGAATACTTGTCTTGGGGTTCATTTCACCTAACATCAGCTTATCTGACCTTTTCTGCTTGTCTCAGACATATATTAGTTAAAGTCTCAAGTTTAAGCCCAGGATTGGTCATCTAAATGACATCAACTTACTTTTGCTTCTTACATAGCTAGACTTACAGGGGTGTACTACCATGCTCAAGTAATTTAGATACTTTTAGATAACATGGTATTTAGATACTTTTGGATAACATGGTATTTGTTATTTACTAGGGCATCAGAATGTGTATTGTCAGGATGAAGCACAAGTATGAATAATTTGTTCACTTCTGTATTAGGGGCGAAAAACTGCACCAGTTTTCATTGATCTGTCACTTGGTTTGGAAAAAGATTCCCCAAATGAAAATACATTCCTTGAATACAAACTTTATTCAAGGAGCTATCTAAAACAGGTTGATTTTTCCCAATAGAGTGAAAAACCATGGTGACCTGGTGGATCTATAACATGAAAACTGGTGATTCGACTTGTGTTTTAAAGGAAAAAACCAATTTCCATATCACTTGTAAAAATGAAGTATTACTCAGTTTTGTATTTAAAGGTCATGAACTTCAGGCTAAACTCCAGTAAATACTCATTCTTGACTTCCTTCACAGAGTATCCTAAGCAATTCCACAGAAACACTTTTCATTAGGTGTCAGAGAGCCGTGGGGACAGGATTATAAGTAGAATGTGGTAAGCTGAAAGGAAAACATGACGTGGCAAATGTGTGTATGTGTGTGGGGGAGGTTAGTCTTGTCATTCATTCCCTTGCGCTCTTGTCTCCCTTCTTGTGAGACTCCTTTTCTTTCTTTCCCTCCTTCCTCCCTCCCTCCCTTCCTCTTGTTCTCCCTCTCCCCCCTCCCCCCACCCCGCCTTTTCTTGTGTGTGCAAGTCCTAGGACTTGAACTTAGGCTTGGGCACTGTCTCTTGGGCACTGTCCCAAGGCTAGCATTCTACCACTTGAGCCACAGCTCTACTTCTGGCTTTTGCTGGTCAATTAAAGGTAAGAGTGTCATATACTTTCCTGCCTGGGCTGGCTCTGAACTATACTCCTCAGGTCTCAGACTCTTTTTTTTTTATCGGTCGTGGGGCTTGAACTCTGGGCCTGGGCGCTGTCCCTCAGCTCTCCAGCTCAAGGCGAGCGCTCTACCACTTGAGCTACAGCGCCACTTCCGGTTTTCTGGTGGTTTATTGGAGATAGGAGTCTCACGGTCTTTCCTGCCCGGGCTGGCTTTGAACCGCGATCCTCAGATCTCAGCCTCCTGAGTAGCTAGGATTACAGGCGTGAGCCACCAGCGCCCCGGCAGGTCTCAGACTCTTGAGTAGCAAAGATTACAGGTGTGAGCCATCAGTGCTTGGCCTGTTGTTCTTTCTTTATTTTTTTGAACTCAGGGCCTGAGAACTATCCTTGAGCTTTTTGCTCAAAACTAGAACTCTACCATTTGACGCACAACCCAAATTCTGATTTTTTTCTTGGGGGGAGGGGAAGGGGTGTACTTAATTAGAAATAAAAGCCCCATAGACTTTTTTTTGCCCTGGCAGCCTTTGATCTGTGATCTTCAGATTCCAGCCTTTGGAGTAGTTAGGGCTATAGGTATAGTTTAGAATTACCAGTACTGGCTTGTTACTCATTTTTTTTTTTAACCCCTACCTGTCTATTGGGGACCGAGCTACTGGGAGAATCTTATTGTCCAGTATATTTCAACTTAAGTCTGAAAGCTGAAAGTACTTTATCTTTTCCCCCTTCTTTTCTTCCCCTATAAACAAATAAAACTCATTTCTTTTAGAGTGGGCCCCTAGGAGGAAAAAATATTACAGGCATTTAAGCCTTAGCCCACCATTATAAATACTTCTCTAATGTCTTGTGTTGTCTGCCTTTTATTGGTTTAAAAACATTTTCTTGGTTTATTCGTAATGGTTGCTGACTTCTAAGGCTGCTGACAAGGCTCGGCTACCCTGTTGGCCTCTGTTTTGTCTCTTCTGAAGAAAATATCCTGCAAAATGGAGAAACACATCAACCTTGACTGTGGTCCAAGTTATTAAAACAAGGAGGAAGTTTCTCTCTGGGGACCAGAGTAGGGGGAGTGGGAAATTGAACACAATGGAAATGTGAAAGGCATGCTGAGCAAAATGAATGTCCCAGGGCTGGTCCAAGAAGTTCACAGACTGTGGGGAACACACAGTATTTGACCTGTGGATGCTCACAAGGAAAACTGAGGAGCCTCACGATGAGTGATGGATGGTGAAGCAAAGCTGTGTGTTTTGGTAGGGCCAAAGTTGTCAAAGCTGGAGAAAATCCCCTCTAGACATAGTCTCATCCTCCACAACCTGTGCCAAAAGAGATAGAGATTCTGGCTGGGAGCTCCAGAATACAGCCCAACACCTTCCCCTTTCCTCTCATGAACATAAGGTACCCTTCCAGGAGATTGACTTCTTGAGAGCAGATAGCCTGAAATTTAAGTGGCTCCTGGAGCTTGAGCTGCAACACAAAAGTGGAAAGCGGCAGTTCTCACAGCATAAGCAGGTCTGTGAATAGAGCATTCATGAGTATCTTCTCTTTCAGTGCCCCAAGCAACAATATGTTCATTTCCTCCTTGCAGACTGCTATATTTATGATGTTAAAACAGTTCTTTTGGGGGGGGGTGTGTGGGGCTTGAACTCAGGGCCTGGGCATTGTCCCTGGACTTTTTTGCTCAAGACTAGCGCTCTATCACTTTAAGCCACAGCACCACTTCCAGTTTTCTGGTGGTTAATTGGAGATAAGAGTCTCATGTACTTTCCTGTCTGGGCTAACTTTGAACCATGGTCTCAGCCTCCTGAGTAGCTAGGATTACAGGTGTGAGCCATCGGCACCTGCCATTGAAACAGTTTTTTCCTTTCTTTCTTTCTTTCTTTTTTTTTTGCTGGTCATAAGGCCTGAACTCTGGGCCTGGGCCCTGTTTCTCAGCTCTTCAGCTCAAGGCTAGCACTCTACCACTTGAGCCACAGCACCACTTCCGGCTTTTTCTGCTTATACGGTGCTGAGGAATCAAACCCAGGGCCTCATGTGTGCAAGGCAAGCGCTCTACCACTGAGCTGCCTTCCCAACCCTCCTTTCCTTTTTTTTTAAATCACTGTTTTTAATTATTTTCATTTCCCAAAGAATGCTCTAAAGATGTGAAATTGAACATACATTTAGATTCATTATCTGGATAGTTTTCCTTTTGAAACACTGTAATAAGACTAACATCAGAGATGTCATACTGATCTACAATTCAATTACTCAGCAAGATATTTGGTGAGTGCTTCCTCGTCCCCGATACTCATCTAGACTCTGAGACAGCAGCATATAAGATAACCACATTACTGTGATACCACATATAATAAACACAGAATAGATTACCGACAAGATCACTTGGGGAATACTTTGAAGGAAATAATATAGGGTGATAGAATAGCACCATGGAGATGGGAAGGAGAGTGATTTAATATAAGTGTTCAAAGGTCACAT